GCCCTCTGTCGCGCGGGGGCACGACCAGGCCAGCGGCGTGCGGCCATGCCCGGCGGAGAGCGAGGGCGGACTTGCAGGATACGCCTGCCAGACAGTCGGTTTCGGCTTTCGTCTCTTTGCATCTCAGTCTATTTTTCCACATATCAAATTAGAGATGTTTTACTACTATTCTGACTGAGGTAAACGGTCTGTAATAGTAGTACGTAACTATATTTTTCACATATTTCCGTCTTTCTTCAATACGATCTTAAAATTGTTTGAGGCAATACTCAAAATATCGATTCGATTTGGAACTGTTTTTTAAAAAAATGAACTAATTTTGTAAATATAACCCTTATTCCAGCTCCCTCACATCTTATTTTAGATATATTTTGCTTCTAAGGTTTTTCTGTTAACATTCCACCACTTGCCTCTAAGATCTTTTCCGGGTTCAAATACCTGACACATTGAGCGGAGTATTACGCACGAGCTCTTTTATCCTACAACTCGAGTGGTTGCAGTCTGACAAAAACGACGTTTACCTGCTTGAATGAGATTTCATCTGGTGAATCTCTAAATCTATAACAATATCAATTAAACAAATACAGATTTATTATTTACAAAAAAAATACCCCCACCTCCCGGAAAAAATAATCGGGCTGGATTCGCATCCTGCTGCTGACACCTCTCTAACTCCGCTTAAACGGAAAGGCCCAATACACAGACCCTCGTATGTCATCGAAGCGACCCGCAGATCCTGCACAGATTTGGCGGTCTCCCACGGCAACGCTTCAGGGAGAAGCGAAACGATGTGAGCAGGGCGACTTCGAATTCTCCATGACGCGAGCTACAATTACTGGTACCATTGGCGGAAAGTCTTTATTTCTGTAAACTAACAAGTTACAATTAATATTTTTGAATTTCTTGGTTACTTTTTTTACTGCTCGTAAGCCGCCAAGTTTCTATAGTGTTACTTTATTATGAATAATTATGATTCTCTTTACATTAATTCAAAAGTACCGAAATCAAGGGCCTAATAGACCAGTGAGATCGGAGTCGGGATTTAGGACAGACGTAATACATTTCACCAATCTCTGTTGCACAGCACTAACAGGCAGATCACAAGACGAGAGAAACACAAACTTTTTGACTGACCAACGTAATTCATAAAAGTTTGTACATCTTATGTTTGAAAACTGAAAAAAAGTACATTGAGGTAAAAAATTGAGTGGTTTGTCTCTCGATTATCTGCAACTGACGAGTTCTGCAGTTTCGAATTATGTTTTTGATGCGATCACTCACCGTCTCTTGTTGTTCCCATTTTCCAAGTCAATGAGTTAGAACGGCAACAATCTCCTTTTTCCGTTTTGGGAGATGCAGCAGATATGTTTTTGTTGGTGGTGTTTTAAGCGATTCTGATTGATGCAAAACCGACGTTGGGAATTTTTTCTGATTATTCGTATGATTCATTGAGGCGTATAAAATATTATTGAAAGAAATGTTTACAAAAACCACTCAATTTATTGGCCATTTTGTTACTTGAATTATTGTGCAGTATACTCCTCTATAAAATCGAAGATTTTGAGCTACCTGAGATAGTACAATCTAAAAGCCACTTTCACACTTTGCGGTCTCAACAAATTAACTTTTGACGATTGAAACCTCCACACACGCTGTTCGACCTCAACTTAGTGTATAACGATTTTTGGACGCCTCATCTTTTGCAAGGCGGCAATTTGACAATAATCTCCTCATTCGATAGTGAGGGCGACAATTCAATTTACATTGCCACAAATAAATAATATTTCCAAAAACCTTTACAATAAATCCACATATTTACAATATACTGTCATCTGTGCGTACATTTACGAGTCGTTGAACCTTAAGAATTTGCCGAAGATATACAGTGTAAGTTATTCGAGCATATTGACGTGTTTTTGGCAATTCTGCGCCTACGCCGAGCAGTCGAGAAATAGTATATCTGCTTTGAACAACATTGCTATGAGGTTCAATATCACTTCAACGAGTATAGAATGTTTTCTTGTTGTGAGAAGACATTTGAACTCAATGGTGTAGACATGTATAGTTGTATTCATTTTTAATTTGGTTTCTGACTTACTGGTGGACGGCTTATAGCATCCTATGTTTCGTAAGTAAAAGGCCAAGACAATACACCAGCTTAAGCTGGCGAAATTATACGTCTCGTAATTTAAGAAAATTGTGGACGAAGAAAGAATCGGCCGCTTCTTCATCACGCGCTTAGTCAACACCAATTTTTCGCCTAGTAAACCTATACTGAAATATCTGTTCTGAACTGTCATATCAATTAAAAAAGAAGGATTTTGAAACCGGCGGGGCAGCCTTGTCTCCCGTAAGAAAGGCCTATTCGTAAAAGATAAAAAAATCCACATTGATGGTATTCTCATTATTGCTTATTGTTGTTTTCCTTATTTTTCAGTATGATGTGTTCATTTTTGTTTAATGGATACATGGCGTATATATTCTGGACAAGCTCTGTAGTTGCAGATCTAGAGCGGGGGCAGGGAGGACAGGCTGTCCCAAGAAACACCAGAGCGCATTCCTCAGCCTCGCAATCAATCAGCTACCCCAACTAATAAAGAAGGTGGCCTCTGCAAACTTGAACAGACGCAATAGACACGTGGACGAGCACGCAGGAAGTGTAAAGGGGAGAAGGGCAGAGTAAGCGAACCGCCGTAATCAGTGATACTTGGTGTGAGCATTCTCCACATCCGTTCTAATATTGCGACAAAACCACTATCAGCTGCCATTCGGACTTGGAAAATCCCGGGGGCCCCTTCCCACCACGGCCCACCTTTATTCGAGCCAGCTCGTTCGTGCCCCTAGTCCCTGCCCTAGTCCTTCAGCGGCTAGGTGGGCGCAGTGATAAGAACGATTCGCCCCGATTGCATTGGGAAGGCAACAACCTGTTTATATATTCTTTCACAATGACGACTGAATCAGACCCGCAAAAGAAAACTGCAAGATTCTTTGACCTGAAAATACTAAAGAAAGAGATCTTCACATAATTCTGCGAACCTCAGAATACCGAAACAGGAAGATTCGATGGGATTATATAATACGATATAATCAATACTATAGTATACCTCTTTGGTTTTCACTTTAGAATAATGCCTATTATTATTATTATTATTTATTATATAATATTATCAGTTATTGTTATTATTATTATGTACAACGGATCCTTATATTTCGTTCTTTTCTAAAACATTTATGGTTCTCTGACAAAGAAGCAAATGACCAATGAAAATCAAGAAAAGGTCGACAGGGTTATTATTCCAGCCCAGAACAAGATAAGATAAAGAAAAATTGTATTCAAGATAAAAAAGCCAAAGAAGGCGAAGAACATAAAACAAATGGAGATCTTTTAAGCAATCCATCCTTAGAAATTTTTCCAGGTCATCCGAAAGTATGATCACGGAGGTAGTAAACCAACAATGCGCGAATGTTAAGAATCGTGAACGACAAAAAAATACAACAAAGAAGAGATCACGAAAAGATGGGAAGAAAATACACGAAAAAGGTGTAGTATTATATGTGCAACGCATATAATTATTCCATTACTAAAGAAAGTAAGGACAGTCGAAGATAGCTCGCACAAATAAACAACACAATGCATGAATCCGTGTGATCAGGGTCAATTCGGCAAAGTCACGCCTCGGAAAAGAGGAAAATAAGATTTTAAAAAAATGTTGTGACTGTAAGGAATATACTTATTAAGATTTTTCAAAACAATACACATGAAAGAAAGGAACGATCATTTCCTAGTCTCCTCTGAAAGTTGTGCTATATTACATACCGTCGCGTAAGCGTTAGCGTAAAGGCATATCCTAAGATGCATACTCACAGAAAAAGATTTCCTTGGGTTTTTAAAACTCGTTTGAAGTTCCATTTTATTTATATCTTTGTGGCCAATACGTCATTGAAAGAGTCACGTGCACTGGTTTTTGCAATACTGAAATTTCTACAGATAACTTTTTCTAGAAAATCGCAATTTTTATAAAAAAAAAGACAAATGGTAAGAGAAAACACCCTGACAATTGTAAGCAAACCTCTAGGAGTATCCAATTGCATCATTACCCTTTCATTCAAAAATCGAACCATTGGTTCAGACGATATCGGTAAAGTAAATTCCCCTGTGATAGTGCTGCGATCAATTGAATTTTCCTACAAGTATTTTTCGGTGCATTTAGCCTTAAGAACAGTTCTGTTTGCTGTTGACGTGAATATTCTTCAAAAAGAAACAATAAGTAGTTCGATTTCAAATGTTTAAAATTGGTTTCTTATAACAAATTGATAGTAAACGAAGTAAAAAAGGTTTCAGTATAATAGGGCAATTCAATCAGGCAATCATATGCATCGTTCAGTTGTGTGCTGTAAAGGTAAAATTTCTAAGTCTGAAGTCAATAAAAGAGTGGAAAACCCGTATGAATGAATTGAACTGTAAATTAGTTTAATTACGTTACGCGTGCACAATTCTTTCAAACTCAGTCAAACTTCATGTAGCTCGTTCAATCCCACCTGACATATGGAGCAATATTCTGGGAAAGCACTCTCTGTAGTACCTTGACACTTATATCGCAGAAAAAATTTAGTACATCCAGTTAGAAAAAGTCATCCCCATGTTTCCTCCATGACTCAATTTAGCGTGTAAATTTATCATTACATGTCCTATTCATTTACGTATCCTTAATTTTGTCCAATCTTCATATATTACCTACGTGCACTTTACTTTACATTACATTACCAGATGTAACATAATCCCCAATCCGACGTATCACTGAGCTATACAAATTTTCAGGAAGGGAAAATTGAAAGGGAATAACAGTGATATGACTGTGTGCACTACGAGGGTATTGAAATTTACCCTCATAGTACAAGGGATGATTCAGCGATTTCTGATACCCTTTAAATTAGGAGTAATACCATTTTCAAACAATAATTGATACTATGATGGACAAGTGACTTAAAAAGTATCGGCAGTAAAACTAGAACACCAACGGAAAAGGATATAAATCACTTTCCCTTGATTTATTTCAATTTGTTTTACTTTCACAAAAAAGTGTATTTGACGTAAGGGAGAGAAGTATGAACTGCTCACGTTTTCTTGGGCTGCAAAATCCTTTCTCTACCAATAAACTATTCTTAGTTGAATGATGAATAAAATAACTAATAAGCGAGGTTAGCAACGTTTGAAAACTGTAAATGCCTACTCTAGAGTTACAGAAATGTATTTGGAACGGTATTCGAACTTCAAATTCAATAGCATTGCTACCAAAATAGCAACCCTCTCTCCGCTCTACTTCTACCACAACTTGCAAGAGAAGATCTCAACAAAATATTCCCATATTTTCGTTAAGAAGCAAAACAAGGGGCCATCTCAGCATTTGCTCAAAGGCTCAGGGAAAATGGACGAAAAACCTGATCATTGACCCAGGAACTGTGGTACAATACTTGTTACTCGCGTATTTAGTCTTTTAGAATTATACAGTACATTGCTGATGATAATAAACTAAATGTATAAAAATAATTATTACTTTTCCTTTTTATGTCAGTTTTGTCTTTAATTGAATAGAAGTTATGCGGAAAATAATTGGCACTAAACTTGTGTATCGATTTTAATTGTTTAATTCTACATTTTGTCGTTTGAGTTAGGCAAACAAGCTGAGACTGTTGCTGTTATTAAATTTATTTCAAGATAATTAACAACAGATAACTTAACATTGATGTTACATATTATTTGCATAGAACAAAATATTACATTTCATAATTTTTTAAGGTGCCAGTTTGAAATATGAAAATGCGTGTTTTGCAAGTAAGTTGGGACTAGTATCGCATATGTCTTTTTCTGGATCGTGCCCCCTTTCCAGTGTTGCCATCAGACAAGGTTGATGCTTTCGTCCGTCGCGTAGTCGACGTCGACCGGTATCGTGTTGGTATCAGGAGTGGCGGAGGCGGTCGTGGTGCCCGGAGTGGTGATAGCAGCTTCCCGCTCTTGCTCCTCGTCGTCCTCCGCCTCCGCAGCTGCTGTCGCGGGCAGTTCGCGCGTGGTAGCCCCGGTCGTCACGTCCGCTGCCCGAGTCACCGGCGTCGTAGCCGCGCTGCAACATTGGGGAAGGGCGCTGTGGTGTCCATAGACTTGAGCACAAGGGTGGGGACAGGAAGTGTTCCCTTTGAAAATTTTCAAAATGGCTCCGTAGCCTTACGAAATAAATCATTTTATCTGCAATTAAAAGTTAAACTCATTTCTCCTTTTTAACTTGACAGTTTTGAGAGTTGTTGTTCGATATATGGGGTGCCACCCAAGCCAAGCATCCTGGCTACCTTGTAAACACTGCAACATAATATCTATTATTTTTTAATTGCACATTAAAGTTTTATTACCATCATCATTTTAGTATGTTTATTTATTCACGGTTATCATAAGCCATAATCTCATACGATGAATCTGAAGATCGTGGCAGAGGTGGGTGCTGTGACTGAACCACTAATTCGACCCGCAATGTACTGCCTAACAGTTGATTTCCGGGAGAATGAAAGAGAAGGGAAGAGGTTTTAATACGTACAAATTCCATTCGCTACGCTGGGTATAATGGTCAAACTCTTTAGATTGCCACTAACTCTCACACATTTCTCTCTCTCCCTCTCTCTCTGTCTCTGTCTCTCTCTGTCTCTCCCTCTGTCTCTCTCTCTCTCACACACACATTCACGTCACGCACAGAGAGCTCTCTCTCCCTCCCTTTCTCACTCACACTCGCTCCCTTACTCCACACATCCTCACATACAATTTCTCTCTCTGTCTCTCTATCTGTATCACTCTCTCTCACTCACTCATCCACATACACTAACTTTCCAAAACGGCTGCTTTTTTCTCACCCACTCTTACCCATGAAATATAGCGTATACTCACCCCCTCTCTCCATCTCTCTCAGTCGCACACATTCATTCACTCACACACTCACCCACATTTACCCACACACACATACATACATTGAACATCTTACACACTCACTATCGCTCGCCGTGACCTCCGTCATACATAAACATTCAAACTCAAACATGTTTTCACGAACCTTTCAGCTATGCATCTGAATGAGCGACGTCACGTTACTTACTTTGCTTCGGTGGAGGTGACCGGCGTGGGCGTGGGCGTGGGCGGGGGCGCGGGCGCGAGTTCCTCGGTGGCGTTTGGGCCACGCACGCGAAGCACGTCCACGCGCAGCGGCAGCCGCCCCCACGGCGCCGTCGACTCAGCACAGCACGTTCTCGTCTCCGTCACGAAGGCGGCGCTGCGCTCTGCGGCCCGCACACCCTGCGCACCAGAAGCCCCCTCAATGCCCGCCCGCCCCCTCGCCCTGGGAAAGAGCCACTCTGGCAGGTCTCACTCCCCCCCCCCTCCGAGTCCAGCCACGCCGCGCGAAACAATTCCTCTGGCAGACCCCACTCTCCCTCCGGCTCCTCCCTCGCTCCGCGAAAGAACCACTCTAGCGGGCCCCACTGTTCCCCGGCACCAGCCTCGCCCCGCGAAAGAGCCACTCTGGCAACACCCACTCTATCCCCTGCTCCAGCCTTGCTCCGCGAAAACCACTCTGGCAGGCCCCACTCTCTCCTCGGCTCTAGCCTCGCTCCGGGAAAGAATACTCTGGCAAGCCCCACTCTACTCTCGGTTCCAGCCTCGCCCTGCGAAAGAGCTACTCTGGTTGGACCCATTCTCGCCCCGCTGACGAGCCTCTTTCGTAGGCCCTTCTCTGTCCTCGGCTCAAACCTCGCCTCGCAGACGAGCCTTCCTGGTAGGCCCCACTCTCGAAAAATCAGGGAATTCAACAAAAATGAGACCTGCACGTTTCTATTAAGTGTCTTTTACACTATCCGAGAGCAAAGTTTAATTTGAAACAATTTGAGCCAGTTTTGAGAAATTTTTGGAAATGTATTTGAGGCTCCATGTAAAATATCCAAAAATAAAATATACGTTTCGCATTCGCACAGCAATGAGTTTGCTTAAATGTATCGGGGATTATAATTTTGGAGAAAATTGGCTCAACGGTTTAAGCGTTGATCACAGACGAACGGACTGACAGACGTTTTGTCGTTAATCGATTTTTCAGTACCAAGGACCTACAAAACATGGTTTTTGACTACATAATGTGTTGGAGGAAGTAATTTACCATATATAGGTACACGATTGTCAGACTTTTTCGGTTCCAGGCCCCAGCAATAAAGGCCCATTCACAATGCAAACATAAACATACGCATGGCGTAACATAAATGTTAGGACTAGGTCCATAAGCGGACTCATTCACAATGTGTTTGCATAAGCATAACACGTAAGACGTTAACTTTAAAGCTTGCAAGCTTCAAGCTTCTGTGCTTATTTTTAAGTAAGACATAACAAATGAACCAATCACAGTATATTAACTCAAAATCGAGTATCAAATTAGAATTGAAGTAGATAGACCGTCCATATCTCGAAAACGATTCTCACATCCGACGGATAGAATGTGTCACAGCCACACTAAACTAGAATGTGTCGCAAGCAATAGACAGTTTTATTTTGCTTACGTTTATGTTAGACATTGTGAATACTTCAGTCTATCACTTATGTTCATTTTACGTCTCATGTCTGTTATGGCTTATGTTTGTTTGCATTGTGAATGGGCCTTAAGGATTTTTCCGTCAAAGGAACAAAGGCGTTTTCCGGTGGTGCCAATGATTTACCATACTCTCTCCTCTTACGAAGTAGGGCGAGAAAAAAAAAACGGCGTGGGCGAGGTGTTCGCGCCTGAACTCACGTTGGCGCGCGAGCCCTCGACCCAGCTCCCGGTCATGGGCGGGCCGAAAATGTTGCGAAGACCTGCGCACGGCGCCGCGTGAGCAGTCGGGGGTTCCGCTCAGGGCGGGTGCGCGGGACTGACGAGGCGGGCGGAGAGCCGTAAAAGCCGCGCGCGGCGCGCTCACCCAGCGCCAGGCGCAGCACGCTGCCCGGGGGGCCCTCGAGCGTGAACACGCACTCTGTAACACCACGCCCACGTCCGCCCATGCTTCGGTAGTCTCGGACGCGCATGCGGGACGCGACGGCCTATTCCCGCTCGCTCTGGGGTCCCACAGGGACTCTTTTCGAGGTACAGTTTGAATCCTTAAGTGATCAAGAGAGAAGAGCCAACCACCTTTAACATAAAATCTGCTTTCATACCAAAACTCAGAGTTTTACTTTTTCGAAAGTAAATGATTCGAAATACCAATTCCTGCAATAACAACGTGTGATTAACGTGCGATATAATGTAAAATGTTATAAAAATGAGAGCCATCGGCTTGACTGATTGCTGTCGCTGAAAGGTTTCATAATTCTCACAAACGTGTATAATTCTTATTTAAAAGAGACATAACACATGCTTAACGCAATAACACATGCTTAACATTCAAGTAAATCATGATTTGTATTTAGTTCTATCATGAAAGTATGTATTTGTCTTATCAGTTTCTTTATTTTCTCAAAATACAAAAAAATTACTGATTTCGTGCAAAAAATTGAGTAGTATTAAATTACAAGAGTGAATTTATTTTTAAGTAAAATACCTACAATGGTGCAAATTAATAGTTATGCGAACAAATTATTATTATTATTATTATTATTATTATTATTATTAT